TTTTTCATTGGAAATCAACAAGGAATCGAATGCCGCTTTCCGTTTTCTTTGTCATTTTCATGCAACCTATCGCTCCTTCAAGCCCAGTGCATACGATGTAATGAGTATATAAAATCATATTCTGAGACAAGTGACACTTTTTAAGAAAATTGACATTAGTTATTATGGGAGTGTAAAAAATCTCACTTCCTAAAATATGTTAAANGCTTTCCGTTTTCTTTGTCATTTTCATGCAACCTATCGCTCCTTCAAGCCCAGTGCATACGATGTAATGAGTATATAAAATCATATTCTGAGACAAGTGACACTTTTTAAGAAAATTGACATTAGTTATTATGGGAGTGTAAAAAATCTCACTTCCTAAAATATGTTAAACATTTTGTTTTTACCAAACAATTAGATTTTCGTATTTCCTAACATCGAAATGTAAATTTTAAAGCAGAAATGAATTTGAATTAAATGATTAATTTATTTAAATTTAAATCATAGCTATGATTGTCCTAAAGAAATTATTTATAATTTTTTGTCGTCGCAATATTTAATCACAAAAATTAGAAAACAAAAATAAAAAATAAAATAAAATTGAAATTATACTGTGACGAACTTTCAGTGTGAGACCCGGATATCCCACAAAAAGTCGCCGTCCGGGTAACAACAGTGGAGAAAGATACTCCAGGGGTCTTGATTAGAAAAGAAACCACTTTTCCCAATAGATATTCTCCATTTTATTTTAAACAAACCAATAAATAAATAAATTCCCACTGACAATTCGGTGGCGGTCGGTACTAACATTCGGTCAAACGGAGTAGTCGTAGTTGGCGGTTGTACGGTACAACGGCGGGATGGGAAGGATGCTGAGAACAGGCGGGATATTGCCGACGCTCTGTTCTCGGACGGATAGGGAGGATGCTGAGAACAGGCGGGATATTGCCGACGCTCTGCCCTCAGACGGACGGATAGGGAGAAAGGAGCCTCGGTAGGATATTGCCGATACCGAGGGGGAAGGCGGACTTACTTCGTGTTGAGGATATTGCCGATCAACACTACTGAATCTCAGGTGCCGGAGGTCGGCCTTTTAGAGCCGGTTTGTGACGTAGATTAACAGTTCGTCGGATGCTAGTACGCAGACCCACAATAAATACAGAGTTCCACGGTGTGATTGGCATCGGAGTGGCGGCCAGTGGTGTCACCAATTGCGGCACAGGTGACGGTGGCGGCGGTGACTCGGGTAGCGGGGACGTATCTAGCTCCAGCCAATACGTTGGACTCCCCTCTGGTGGACTGGGTTCGAAGATTTCCGGCAAACTTTGGCCTAAGGTGTTCGGTGATGGCGTATCCATGATGGCTCTGGAAAAATACCTGTCATTAGTACGCGCGTTTTCTATGGCGGAAACTTCGGTGATCGGTAAGGGGCGGGTGACAAAGCGTTTGTCACTTTGTTTGTTACTTCTTGCATGCTCGGATTCCGAGCACGGAATCTCTGCTTGATAGGATTCGGATTCGGCAATCTGGTAGGCTCTCTTGTTCCATCGGTTGGACCCTGAATTTCAGATTCCCTGGGTTCGGTCTGGATCAATTCCGTAGCTTTCCTCTTTTGGGATTCGGTTAAAGTCGGAACTAGTGCTATGTTGGCGGTGCGGTGAACAATGGCGGTTGTGGGGTTCCCCATATGAATCTTTCAACCTTTCAGGTCGATTGAGCAACCATTGGCGGTGAGAAAATCCATCCCAAGGACCATATCGGTGGTCAACGACGGTAGCAATAGAAAATCGGCGGTAACTACGGTTGATAATATGGAGACTTCAATGCGGTACTCTTCGGTGATTTCAATAAGTGTTCCATCAGCCAACTCAGCCTTTGTCCACTGTTTCAACGGCAGCTTCTGGAATCCCATGCGCTGGCAATAAGTAGCAACTTTCTGGCTAATATAGGAACGGACGGATTCTGTATCAACCAACGCCGAGTAACTTCTGTCGCCTATGGTTACTACTTCACGTAGCCGGTTATCTACACAGACGGAGTCTGTGGCGTTAGTGGGGTAAGAATCGGAATTGTGGCTTCGGTTGGAACTCTCTAATCGAGAATTGATTTGGATTCCTCGTGACCCAGTTCTTCGGGAGTTTTCCTGGTATGCGGTACATCGGCAATGTCGCGATTGAACTCCCTGTCGTCCACATCGTGAACAAAACAGTTTCGGTGGTTGTCGGCAATTAAATCTTGTGTGTCCTTGTTCTCCACATCTCCAGCATGTAAAGTTGTTTCCTTCTCTTGAGGTGCGAAACATGGGTCGGCGACGGTCGGTGACTTGTATCACGTCCTGGTACTTCAGTGATACGCGGTACAGCAGGAGTGGTAGTTCTGGACATCCCAATCGGCTGAAAATTTTTATTCGGTTTATCGGACTTATCCATATCCCGTTAGATCTGTTCAAACAAGTAGACCTGCTGTAATAGCTCGGTTACATTGCAAACATCATTTCTGCGGATATACTGTCGGTATTCTGGTCTTAGCCGTCGATAAATGCATGTTAGTTCTCTTTCTCTAGAGAAACCTCCATGGCATCGTATCATGGTCTGCATATCCAAAATGAAGTCTTTGGCGGTGGTCTGACGGTTCTGGTAGGTTTTACAAATGACCTCCTCCATATTGTCACGGTAATCCGGTGGGTAAAAGAAAATTTTGAAATCTTCAAGGAAATCATAGCAATTTTTCCATCGGCTCTTATAATTCATATACCATTGATTTGCTTTGCCTTGCAGTAATCCCGGCAGCATCCTCAACAGCTGCTGGTCGGTTATGCCATATTCTTCTTGTAATTGTTCAAGTCTCTCTAGGAATGAGACGAGATCGGCTTTTCCATCAAACACAACATTTAATTCTCGGATTTGATTCAGAAGATCAAAGTCAAACGGCGGTTGTGGTGGTCTGGTCATCGTTCCCGGTATTGCGGAGGGTGTAGGTTGATCTTTCGGTGGTTCGACTCTCAGATATGCTACTAGTCGGCGTCGTAGCTCGTCTACTGTTCCATCGGTCTGTAAGTTCAGTCGTCGTAATTCCATTACTAGACCTTCCTTTTTCAACTTATATATCCAGCCTATTTTTGGGTCAGCTATTTCAAGGCCAACGGCACCTTCGTCGCCTTCGGTATTCATTTTGTTGCAAATCTGTTATTATTCGGATCTTTTTCCCTCTTATGGATACCTCTCTGCCCTCAGAATTCGAAAATTCTTCGATATGACAATTTTGGCTACCGTATCTCCTTCGTTAATGGTCGGATCTTCTCGGGAGTGGTCGGAAACGCTTTCTTGGCTCAAATTACCCTGATCTAGACACCTCACTCGACTTCGGGTGACTTCGGGAAACTTCGGCAAAGTTCGGCTTTTTGCAGAAAAGTGCGGATTCGGGCTTTAGGAGCTCACAGGAGTCCTCTGGAATACTCGGATTTTCAAAATAAGCGGTAGTTTTGGAGATACGTAAACGACAGCAGTTTCGTGCTCGGTGTGTCCCAAAACCTTCGGAAAACAAGTTTTCTTCAAATCAAATCGGTCCCTGCTCTCGGGCGCCATTAAATATGTGACGAACTTTCAGTGTGAGACCCGGATGTCCCACAAAAAGTCGCCGTCCGGGTAACAACAGTGGAGAAAGATACTCCAGGGGTCTTGATTAGAAAAGAAACCACTTTTCCCAATAGATGTTCTCCAGTTTATTTTAAACTAACAATTAAATAAATAAATTCCCATTGACAATTCGGTGGCGGTCGGTACTAACATTCGGCGAGACGGAGTAGGCAAGACTATTTTTTTTTTGACTCAGGTTGTACGGGATAACGGCGGGATAGGGGAAGTACTGCGAACAGGCGGGATATTGCCGACGCTCTGCTCTCAGACGGACGGATAGGGAGGATGCTGAGAACAGGCGGGATATTGCCGACGCTCTGCTCTCAGACGGACGGATAGGGAGAAAGGAGCCTTGGTAGGATATTGCCGATACCAAGGGGGGAAGGCGGACTTACTTCGTGTTGAGGATATTGCCGATCAACACTACTGAATCTCAGGTGCCGGAGGTCGGCCTTTTATAGCCGGTTTGTGACGTAGATTAACAGTTCGTCGGATGCTAGTACGCAGACCCACAATAAATACCACGCTTACATTACTAACATATGAAAAGTTAATAGTTCATCGGCTATTTAACGGATAAAATTAAGAAAGGTTCGTTACACTACGTACGATAGCATTCCATTGTACAATTTTTTTTTCTGTAGTTGATCATTCGTTTTTTTATAATTTATTGTTTGTTAGTTAGTATGTGATGTGAATAAAGCCGTTATAGCAATATTTTAAAAGAATATTTTGCCTCAGTGTGATTTAAATAAAATAATGGATTTTCCTGTTACATTATACATTGCATATTGAAGTCGACAAATCTCGAAAACAAGTAAATATAGGGAAAAACTGTATAAGGTAAGTGAATACAATATGCCCACCCTAAGCAACTTTTTGTTAAGAAGGTAATCCTAACTAACAAGTAACGGCAATTATTTCATGATAATGTTCAACATATTTAGAGTTTAAAGAAAAAAAATAGTTGCCATGAAAAATTGATTTAAAACATTTTTGGTTCATTTAAAAAAAAAGTGCAAATGGTCATATTGGCAACACGGTACTGGCAATATGCCCAATACATGGTCATATTGCCAACACGGTGTTGGAGATATTGTCATGTAAGTATAATAAACTCGAAATATTTTTTTATATTATTTTACTTGTCAAATGGGTACTTGTTTATTATAAACCTAGTACAAAATGTAAGAAAACAAACAGAACTAATAATTATAGCGAGGGTATTATTCGCATAATGGACAAATAAAATTGTCTTTCATTTCCTTGGTTAAGCCCACGCAATACTCATGAACATATTTTTGGCAGACAACGCACAGTCGCATATCGGAAATTTCAGCCATTTGACACACTGCACAATACCAGTCTTGTTCATCTACCTTGTTAATTTTTTTTTGTCGCTGCTTTAGATGTTGTAGCTTTAGGTGTTGACTTAACTTTGGGCGTTGATGTAACTTTAGATGTGACTGTCTCGTTGCTAAAAACTGCTTTTTTGACAACAAGAGCCCGACTGTTTATGGCCTTCTGCCTTACATTTGTTGCTGATTTGACAATTTTATCCGGGGTCTCCAACATTTCTGTTATTGACTTATTCAGAAGTTCTTTCAGAGGAATATCATCTTCTGAATCAGATGTAGCCAAAAATGCAGGCGTATTTTGTTCTTCTGCGCTGTCATCATTAGAAGAGATACTTGGAGTTCTGGGTCTTTTTCGGTTATTGGATGTTCCTGCTTTTGGGGATGCCGATCTGGTAGGTTCGACGATGGGTTCTTCTGGTTCACCTCTTATGTGGGTAACGTCACTAGGAGCATATGCCAGTTCCGATATTGCCTCGGGATTAAAAGGAAAAATACCGGTTGCAGCGAAGCCTGCTTTTATATTTGCCGGTGGTACGCTTTTATCCCACACAACACTAAAAATTTCACCGAATCGCATCTTTGTGATATTACGATCTTTGTGTCTTGACCAATACTGGAGCACCTGATCGTCCCAATGGTATTCAAAAGAACGAAATACGGATTTATCCATCGGCTGCAATTCATGCGTCGTGTTGCATGGTAAGCAATAGAGCACAATATCATGTCTTTCGGCTACATCGATGATCGTATGGTCCAGATGGCATTTGGCACCATCAAAAATCAAAAGACATTTTCCTGCGGGCTCATATTTAGCTAAATGCTCGATCCAGCTGCAAAATGTGGTAATGTTCATGCTACCTTTAGGCGTCATAAGGACCAGTGATCCTGGTGGTAATGTGTCCTTCCATTCTGGTTTCAGTCTTTTCCCTTTAAACAAAATTGCCGGTGGAATGAAAATACCAGAGGCATTGCCACAGCAGACAACTATAACGTCTTCCCCATGCTCTGGTGCTACCAGGTGTACACGTTTCGCCCCTTTTTTTGCTAGAACACTTTGCTGATGGTGTAACCTTAGCTTGCAACCTTTTTCATCAACGTTAAAAATTCTCTCTGGGCAATCTATGAAATCCATTTCTAAAAGTATTTCTTTCAATTTTGTGAAATGGTCATTTACCAGTTCCAATCTATTCAGTTGTTGGGCACGAGCTGGGTTCATACCTTGTGCTTTTCTTTGTCTTATTATAGGTTTTCGCCTTAAAAATCCGTTAAGCCAATACCTGCCAGCCATTTTAGACATGGTAGAAAATTTATTTGGTATACCACTTTCGGTAGCGGAACGTGGTCTGAGATGGCATATATTTTGAAAAAAATGATTATTGGAAAGCACATAATTATATTGAAATAATTAGTCATTTTGTATCAATAAGTGGTTTATTAATAGCATATAAACTATCTGAAAATTGAACAAAAAGTACAATTTCTCCTAAAAATAATCAAAAATAAAAAGGTAACAAAAATCCATCTCACCCTATCTCTATGGATAAGATGGCATACCCCCTATGGGTAAGATGGCATACATTAAGTGGTAAGCTCTTGAAGCCTCCAAATGGACGGTAAAGTAAGCAAAACGGGTTATTTATTATATTTAGTAAGTAAGATTACTTACAGATATCACAAATTACGCGTTTTGCTGTTTTCGGCAATCGGATGCATTCCGCGTGGCACCATTGGCGGCATAATTGGCATTGAAGCCACCATTCCCTGGAGCGGAAATGACTCCAAGGCTCCATACAATAAATGCAACATTGGTCTTCATCATCCGACGCAAACGGTTCTTCCTCGTCACTAGAAGCTGCCAATACAACTCTTTTTTTGACTTGTCGAGCGGATTTCCTCAAATTTGCAGCCTTTTTTTCAGCAACAATAGTTTTCAGTTGCGCTATATCTGGAGAGGCATTCAACATTCCGAATTTACCCTTCTTGCGATTTATTCGCTTTATTTGTGTAGATTTGAAGCTATTCGAGTGACCTAACAACCCCAATTACCGAAACTAAAATAAATTTATTCATTTCGGAGATTTTTGACTCCATAATTTGTAGTTTTCGACTAATCGTCATAAAATATTAACAACGGAAAGACAAAAATGTTCTTTTCAATATTTTATTTTCAAATTAAAAAAAAAACAACAAAAAACTCGAACAATATTATTTTTTTTTAAACCCCTGGTGGCCGTTATTACCCCATCGTGTTGGGGTAATGGTGACCATATGTCACCATTACCCCCCAAGTAGTAACTTTGACTTAGTTCAAGCACAATAGTCGCAAATAAAAATTTTGTCCTCTACATTAGCACAAGCTTTGTGTGACCAATTCCCGCAAATGACACATCTCAGCCATATTTCTCTATTCTTCCCGAATTCACCACAAAGAAGACATAAGTCGTCACCTATCACATTCTGATCCTCATTTTCGTCATCATTTGATTCTTCATCTTCGTCAGAACTGAAATCCTTATATCTTCTAGTCCCAACATTTCTTGGCAATCTTGCTCTCTTCATTTCACCACTATCCTCTTCGTCATCATCGTCCAGAAAAATTCTTTTCTTGACCTCCTTTGCTCCTTTCCTGGTTGTCTTCTTTGCTAGCTTCTTATTCGCTTTTTCTATTAAAACATCTTTGTTTGGTGTGGCTGTTATGATTTGAGACGTTTGTTTTGTTTTCCGTTTAATTGACTGCCGTCGAGGTTGTGATGGCCCTGGTAAAGGCAAAATTTTTTCGAAAGATATTTCCATATTATTGTTTGGTTCCTTAGTCACCTCCACCACTGGGAATTGATCATCCAGAGTTGGTTGGGGTGTTGGAGTTGAGTGGTGGATTCTTGAAGTTCATTCGTTTTCTGGCGGTAGGTCACGGTGCTGTGTTTCGGTATATTGCTGGGGCTCATCAAAGGGGTTATGTAGGTCGGTTGCTGCAAAGTCTTCCTTGATGAAAATATCAGGATTATATGGCTAAATGCCGGTTACTTGAAACCCTTTTGCAGCTTTTTCCAAAGTAGCTACCCTCATATAGGCATTATTAAATAATTCTGCGACTTCGAATAGAGTTATCTTCTCATGTGGATGTGATTTCAAATATTTACTACATTCTGTGTTGTAAGCAGTTTTAAGGGGGCCATAAAATGTGACGTCTAGTGGTTGGAGTCGGTGGGAAGTATGTAGAGGTATTGTCAACAAAATGATCCCATTGGCTTTACAAAATTCATAAGCTTCAAGAGTGCAGTGAGTACTGTGGTTGTCCATGATGAGAAGAACCGGATCTTCCAAGCTTGGTTTGACAACCTTCTTGAAATGTCTCAAATATTGTATGAAAATCTCCTCCGTCATCCAACCTCTATCAGAGCAACAATACTCGGCCCCAGGTGGACCTCCTTTCTTGAGGAGCAAGTTCATTCGTTTTCTCGCAAAGATGAATAGAGGAGGAACATAGAACCCCGAAGCACTGTATGCACAAACCACTGTTGTGTTTTTACCTCTTTCCCAACTAGTAACGAAACCGACTTGCTTCAGTCCTTTCTCAGCCAGAATCTTGCCTGGTTTTTGTACCGTTGTAATACCCGTCTCATCCAAATTGAAAATTCTGGATTCTTTGCATTCATATTTGGTGAGAACTTGTTCCAAATTCTTAAAAAACAAATACACCTGCTCTTTATTAAATGCCGTAACTCTGTTCACACCTGTCGCCTCAGGTTTTCTCAGCGAAACAGTCGGATTTCGCTTCAAAAAACCGGAGAGCCAATCGTCTCCTCCACTTTATTTTTCGTTACTGAAAGGACATTTTATATTATTTTTCTGTGCATAGTCGAATGCACATTTCTTTATCTCTTGTCTGGAGACTCCGTAAAATAGTTTAGATAACCTGATGACATGTGCTGCGAGCTGTTTTTCTTCAACATTGGAGAACACCGACAAACGTCCTAGTGATGGATCCTTGTAATTATTGTTTTTTATCCTCGCTTGTATCGTGCTTCTTGGAATTTCGAAAGCTGTGGATACCTCTCGAACAGATCGACCACCCCTCACAGCAGCTATTGCTGCCATTAGTTTGTCCGAGTTCCAAGAGGCCTTTGTAGTCGTTCTTTCACGATGTCTAGGCATCTAAAAAAGTAATGACTTAGAATCATGGGGTAATGGTGGTCGGCCACCATTACCCCTGTATGTCTGGCCATCTTAACCCCAAAATGTATGATTTTCTATATACAGTGCCAAACGAAAAACATTAATCGCAAAAAGTCTCACCTTTAGAAATCTTCAAGGTAACAGATAAACACAATTTTTGTTGCTGTTTTGGAAATTGCGCAGCTTGAATGACATACAAGTTTTACAATCGCCGAACTCACGGTTGCTAATAAAGTCAATGTCTGTTTTAGTTGAACACCTGACCAACGCCTTAAAGTCGTCATTGCTCGCTGTAACTGCGTCAGTCAGTTGAACTACCAATTTATAGATGGCGGCACTATGTAAAATTGATTTAAAAATGCATGGTTGTGAGATAGTAGGTGGCTATCATTACCCCGGTGGCCCCCATTCCCCCCGACTTCCCCTATTACGAAACATTTTACATGTATGCCAACATCGCATTTTCTACATCTAGTTGTGGTTTTAGTATGATACTGTGCACACCGTGTTTGCTCCAGGATAGCGATAGCTATGCTTCTTCTGAATGCCAACTGATCCATTGTATTATCCCTTTTCCTATGAATATCAATAATATATTGAGCTATATTTTGATCCGACCGATCAACTCCTCCCATATTTTTATGATACAACTTGACAACTTGGTCTACGTATATAAACGCTTTACTAAATTTACTGGCTCAATCCCGTCTTTAGTAGATCCAAAAGTGACAGTGTTATTATTATTCCACTTTAACGAAAAGTATGTGTTTGTCTTGTACTTTTGCGTAGTCGAACTTTTCGCTTTTCTCTTTTTTCATGCTTTGTGTATCTTGTAGAACAGACATAAATATACGATTTTCACGAATGGTTCCGGTGCCGTATATATATTTTTCTTGTAAATTCTCTAACAAAGACGGAGATGAGAAGAAATTATCAGAGAAGAAATGAAATTTTAAATCTGCCCACCTGCTTCTTAGCTGGTCAGCATAACTTAGTACAACCGATGCGCCAACACTTAATGGTTTATATATTTTATTTACATAGGTAGAAACGCCTTGGTATGATTCGAACCAGTTGACGTATCCAAGACGACTAATGCCAACCCAAAGTTTGAACCCATAACGGATTGGTTTCCCATGAATGTATTGCTTGCAGCCATGGCGTCCGTTATAAGGAACCATGGCATCATCGATGCTGGTGTACCTCGGGAGATGAATTTTCTAAAAATGTTTTGTTTAGGCGATTGAAGAGTTGTCTAAGTTTGGCAAATTTATCAGACTTATCAAGGTGAAGATTATCTGAAAAATGAATATGGATCATAATAAATTCAAATTTATCCCGAGACATTGCTTGAGAAACAAGCTTATTATGTGCATCTTTTGAGTTTTCCCAGTACGTTCTTCTTCGGGATACACTAGAATAACCGCTCAAAATCAGTTTTCCAAGAAAACATTTAATTTCTGATATATCAATAGATATGTTCTTGTTTTTTTGTTGTGAGTATCGATTAGTTTCTTCTACAATTGTGTACAGAATATCATCATCAAAAAAATTTAAGAAAATCTTTGCAGGATTTGGTTGGGTTGCAGAATATCTGCCATATGTAATGGAAAAACATAATTCTCAACCAGTAAGTAAGTCTTCTCTTACATAACGATACACTGTTTTATTTTTCAGATTATGTCCACTCTTGTTACTACTTTTATTTTGATTATTTCGTTCGTCCTTGTTTCTTTTTCTAATTTCAGCGAGTGGTATTTCATCATCAGAACTCCATTCATCTTCCGTAACTTTTAAATTTATCTCAACCTGACTTTGCAATTTACTTGCTGGTAAATTATTGATGTCCATTTGATCCTCATCACCAGAGTCTTCATCAGTTACATCACCACACGCGTTAACAGGTGGAAGCAAAGTGATTGACTCAGCCACAATTTCTTCATCTTCTATCATAGCAAGTGCCTCATATTTAACATTTATTGAATCATTTACAATAAACTTTTTGGGTTTCCCCAGTACAAAAGTTGTTCAGTCGTTGTTACAGTTATAGTGAATCGTCATTTAGGTAACAATATGAAGTAGTCATAATAATACAGATTCAGTCATAGCACC